CTGTGGGGGGGGGTGCTCTGTGTGTTTTTTTTGGCGGGGGGGGGGGGGGGGGACGACGGGACTGCAGCTTGTCCCACTTGCCTGTGTCTCTTCCCTCCCGCCTGTCCTTCTGCGTGCCTCGGGTTTGCCTGGGGGGGGGCATGCTGCTGTGTTGGCTCTGAGCCTGAGGATGCTCTCTGTGTCATCTCTTCGCCAGCCCCCCTTCAAATCGCCGTGGGTGATTTGGGTCCATTTCTATCAATGTGACATAATTGAGCTGTCTGGGAATGGTTCTGTTTTATAGCTTGTGACAATGATGGTCTTTAAGGAAGTATATTAATTCAGCAGCAGACTCATTGTGCTGTGCCATAAATAACAAGACACATCATTAAGCAGGGCAATAAACTTTGGGACTTTGAAGTAATACAATTAGGTTATATTTGGGTGGGTGGCGGAAAAAAAAGTTTGGTTATTGCTGTAGCCAATTTACCCGCCTCCTGTGTAGAAAACTGTAGTGGCCATGGAAAACTGTAGTGCCCATTCTCTCCCATTTACTCCTCCCTCCCCTGAAAAAGGGGGAGTACCCAATGTACTCTGTACACTGTACTCAATCCAAATTCCTGTCGCTTAGTTCATTGTGAGACCACATCTACTTGAGCAGCAGGAAAGGTCAATCTGATGCTCCATGGGTGCCTGATGTTGTTGTTGTTGGAGTAGTAGAAGGAGAGGAGGAGGAGGAGGAGGAGGAGGAGATTGGATTTATACCCCGCCTTTCACCTGGAGTCTCAGAGCAGCTTACAATCTCCTTCCCCTCCCCACAACAGACACCCTGTGAGGTAGGTGGGGCCGAGAGAGCTCTGACAGAAACTGCTCTTTCAAGGACAGCTCTGACAGAACTATGGCTTGCCCAAGGTCATCCAGCAGCTACAAGTGGAGGAGTGGGGAATCAAACCTGGTTCTCCCAGATTAGAGTCCGCGCACTTAACCACTACACCAAACTGCCTAGTGGTCAGAGTGCTGGTCGAGAAGAGGAAGGATCCAGGTTCAAATTCTCCCTCATCCCGGAAACTCACAGGGTGACTTTGGGCTAGTTGCCTTCCCTTGGAATAATTTATCACAGGGTGCTGTTGGGAGGATGGATGGGGTTGAGGAATCATGCATGCCACACTGAGCTTCTTGGAGGGATTTAAAATGTGATTGATTTGTTGTTGTTGTTCAGTCGCACAGTCGAGTCCGACTCTTTGCGACCCCATGGACCAGATCACGCCAGGCCTTCCTGTCTTCCGCCGTCCTCTGAAGTTGGCTCAATTTCATGTTCGTTGCATCTATGACACTGTTTAACCATCTCATCCTTTGCCGTCCCCGTCTTCTTTGACCTTCAATCTTTCCCAGCATCTGGGTCTTCGCCAGTGAGTGCTCCCTTCTCATTTGGTGGTCGAAGTGTTTGAGCTTCAGTTTCATTATCTGGCCTTCCAGGGAACAGTCAGGGTTGATTACTTTTAGGATTGACTGATTTGATCTTCTTGCAGTCCAAGGGACTCTCAAGAGCCTTCTCCAGCACCATAGTTCAAAAGAATCTATTCTTCAGCACTCGGCCTTCCTTACAGTCCAACTCTCGCAGCCATACATGACTACTGGGAATACCATTGCTTTGACCATGTGGACTTTTGTTGGCAGGGAGATGTCTCTACTTCTTATCATGCTGTTTAGGTTCGCCATCGCTTTCCTCCCAAGGAGCAGGCGTCTTTTAATTTCATGGCTGCTGTCACAGTCTGCGGTGGTCTGGGATCCCAGGAACGATTTGAGGCAATAGCAAAAGCCCAATGAAGAGCATAGGAACAATAGCCTATATTCAGTCCACTGGTAGACTTTGGTGGGTTGCTGCCACAATTCTCAAGATTATCTTGATCAAGGCAGAGATTTTCCCACACTTTGCATTGGCTCCAGATACTGGATGGGAGTGGTGTCATGTCTCAGCCTTGGGAAGATCTTATCACTCGTGAAAAGTTGTTGTTGTTGTTGTTGTTTTGAGAAAATTGTGATCCTGCTCCCAGGATTTCTTGACCCAGCCTTACTGCTGGGCTCTGCACCACTTTGGGCTGCAAGCAAGGAATCCCCGTGAATTCTACTCTTATGATGGTTCCAGTTGTGATCTCTACTGCAGGACCCAAGGCAGCAGCCATGTGTTGGATCCTTCGGCAATCCATTGCAGCGCTATTACAGTTCACCTTCTTATCTATTTTTAAATTTGGTGATTGGGGGAAGGGGGGGCGAATGTTGTGGCAGGAACAATGTATGTTTCAGTAGCCATTGTAGTACACTGTAGTAGTCATTAAATGAGACAGAAACATTTGGTAGAAAGTTTCATCCGATTTGGAGACAAGATAGAACTCTATGATCTCAAGCATGTATAATTTAAGATTTAAAAAAAGTGGTGCATGTGCCCTGACCTGGATAGCCCAGGCGAACCCAATCTCGTCAGATCTCGGAAGCTAAGCAGGGTCGACTCTGGCAAGTACTTGGACGGGAGACCTCCTTGGAATACCAGCAGTCGGGAGGCGGGGGGCAGGCTTTATTCATCCACCTCTCTGAATATCCTCCAGGACCCCAGTCGGGGTCAGTCACCAGAGCTCACCAAGACTTCCAGGTGGGCACACACACACAAACATAGGGGAAAGTACAAAAATAACGTGGTGCATGTCTGAAGGGCAGAGGGGACTCAGATAGGAGCTGGGGCTTAACTCTCCCCTAATGTCATTTTTCCCAAAGAGAAATACTTTCTCTTCAAGCTGCTGTTTGCCCCAGTAATCTTGATTCTCCCCCAATAGATCAAAAATCAGGTTTCTAAGAAGTTTTTTTTGGGGGGACTGAAGCCTTTCTGGTCCCACAGATTTGATTCAAATGCACCCCCACTCCATCTGCCAAACTTACTCTTTATGCTTTAAATATATGTCAGATCCAATGTTCCTGCTAAGCTGTAGAGTCTTGTGAGCAAAAATTCTACTTTGTGAGCTACTGGCATTAAAGTTGTGAGCAAGCAATTTGGCTATTGCATAAATTAGTTTTCTCTGGAGCCCTCCTTCCTGAGCTAAGACAAAGATGTGTGAGCCGGAGGCTAAAAAACTGTGAGCTAGCTCACACTAACTCACCTCAGAGGGAACACTGATCAGATCCACAACGTTTGGCCCTCCACAGGAGTTGTTTTGCATAAGCATGTTTAGGATCTGGCAGTGTGTTACAATCTGGAGAAGAGGCTGAGGCAAAGATTAAGGCTTGGGAACCCGCTGCCCCCCTCCTGTGCCTGTCTCTCCTCTCACAGCAAACCCCCCCCCAACTATGCCTTCTCCCCCTTTACTTTGAAAAATGTATTCACAACTCACTGTGCCTGTTTGTTTTATTCTTAAACAATGATAAATGACAGCTTGCTCTTGCAAGTCCTCCTGCAGAGTAGGAAATATTGTGGAGGTGTGTTTATATCCCTTCCAAGCTATTAATCTTGCTCACTGTGTAATTTCCGGGGAGCTTTAAAAATAATAATATTTTTTTAAAAGAACACACACAGCTAGCAGTGGATGGTGTGAAATGGGGGGATGGATTCTGCATGCTGTAGCCAGAATCAGGCCAGCGTCGCAAGTCTCATCAAGCACCTTTGAGTGCCAAATTTGCAGGGGCAGCTCATTTCCAAAGAGCTGCACTCACCAGATGACTCCTATATAGTGCCCCCCCCCAAAAGGAGAACAGTCATTTGCCTTTACTTATTGTTTTGCTAGGGAATTTAAGTACATTTTGATACCTCATTCCCCCATTGTTCATTCTGTAGAGGTATGGCTTTGGGAAGGTGGCATCAACTGTCCAGCCCAATTCTGCAAAAAGATAAATCATGCAAATAATTGTATTTTGCAGTTATCTGGAAGGAGGGGTTGCTTCCAAGAATCAAATTATGTAGAGTTTTAATGGAGACTAGTTGGAGGTTGGCTTGTAATGCCTAATACCGGGGAATCATCTCTTGCATGTATATCCTGCCTTTCTTCTAACCAGCTCTCATGACTGCATGCCACTCCAATCAAAGCAAAGATCTCCTTGCATATGGAAAACTAGCCGATCCCTGACATGCTGTTTTTCAGCATGCAGGGCATTTAAGAAAATAAAGAAGCATTGAATTATGTGATTCCTCTATTTTTAGTCTGAAATGGTAAAGACCAGATATACATTTGCCTCCTTGGTGAGAACTGCGAAGTATATAGTGAATATATATATATATGAGACTGCCTCAAGGAGACCTGGCTTAAAATCAACCACAAAGTTAACTCCTAGACTTAGTGTAGTGTAGTGGTTAAGTACGTGGACTCTAATCTGGGAGAACCGGGTTTGATTTCCCACTCCTCCAATCGCAGCTGCTGGATGACCTTGGGCAAGCCATAGTCCTGTCAGAGCTGTTCTTGAAAAAGAGCAGTTAATGTCAGAGCTCTCTCAGCCCCACCTACCTCACAAGGGTGTCTGTTGTGGGGAGGGAAAGGAGTTTGTAAGCCGCTCTGAGACTCCGAGTGAAGGGCAGGATATAAATCCAATCTCCTCCTCCTCCTCCTCCTCTTATTATGTCTGAACCTAGCCTATCTCAAAGGGTTGTTGTGATGATGGGGTGTGATTTGGAACCATGTGCCCTCCGCTTCTTGGAGAATGGAAGTACCCGCTAATCTTCAATTACTATACTATTTCTGAAAATAAAGCTGTAAGCTTCCTCCCTCTTCAGTTAAAAGGAAATGAAATGGGAGATTTTGTATCTTTTGTATGAAAAACACAGCATCCTTTGGGTTTAGCGAGTGATTAAAAGACAAGAGAATCATGGAAATCCTGAACATCTGTAATAACATTTCAGAGCCTGTCCTCCACCCTAAATGGCTTCACTGGCATTTTTCTATTCTCAGAAGGCAGAAAGGGTAATAGAATTTGTTTAGGAAGCTTGCAACTTCTCAGGGTTGAGAGAGCCCCCTCCCCCCGCTTTCCCCCCCCCCCCAAGGACTAATGAATAAAACTAATTCCCCCTGTTTTAGCTACCTATACAGCAATAGCCTCTACTCCAACCTGTAAACTCATTTCAGACCTATTTGTATGTATAGCAACCAATCCATATCAGATTAAGGAAGGGTGCAAATACTTTTTTTTTTTTTTTAATCCAGGACAGGCAGGCAGGCAAAGGATCTAGAGTTAATATTGGAACACAGAGGTGAGCTACAAACAGCACAGGCCCTGGCTAGAAACACAAACAATTTGATGATGTAAGACTCAAGAGAAGCAGGTTAGAAAGGAGGGGGGGGGGAGGGGGGGGGGGACACCTGCCAGGAAGGGAAGTTGGGGCCAGCGCTCACTTAGCCACAGCTCATATTTGTCCACATGATCCAATTCTCACATTATGGAGTACACAGGTTGGGTCCAGGATCCACATCCTATTGAGCAGTCAGGCATGAGTTCCTGTGTGTGTGGTGCCTAAGTCAGATCGGGACGGCATCGTGTATGGAGAAAGGGCTTCAGTCTCCCCCACCCTGGCACAATTAACTTGACCGGAAATGGTTCCAGCGGGCGCTCTTGGCCCATTGGATATCTTTAACCCCAGGCAGCAGCATGAGACACTCTGAGCTGCAAGCACATGACATTGCCATCAGGAAGCATGATCTCGGTCACATGACAGGAAGAAGAGGATCCAGAGATACAGCATCATCAGTGGGAAAGATGGGTACCACAAGTACACACGGAACACTTGAGGACCAGTTGGTGGAGTGGGGCGTGGCCAGGGCCAGCTAGGCAGAAGGGAGAGCTGCAGCAGAGAGGTAGTCTCAGAAACAGCCCCCAAAATGGCAAGCTGTCTAGGGACTGAGTAGGCTGAAGACCACTGAAGCAGACTCTATTGTGAGCTATGATTTGACTCTGTATAAAGCAGCTTCATATACTCATAAACTTGCTTTCAGTGGTCAGCTGGGCAGCACCGCCATCACTCAGCACTGTGGGGAGAATACAGTAAAAACTTTATTGCCCGGCCTCCCAGGGGAAGGGGGATTGCTAGCTGATAAAAGGCAGCAAGAGAGCAGCAGTGTCAAATCGGTGACAGCTGTGCCTGGCTCCTGCAGTCTGATCCACCATCACCTGTAAAGTGCAGCTGCTGGCCAACAGACCCAGCCTGGTGGCAGCGGTGGCAAGCAGGTGGCAGCAAGAACAGGTGGCAGGCTCTCTGCATGGTGGTAGGTGGTGTCAGAGCAGGTGGCAGGTCCCGGGCATGGCTGCTGCCTGCTTAATCCTGCTGCCTCTCACAACTGCTGGGCCGGGCCCACTAGCCAGCAGCTGCAATATCCATAGACTGCCAAGAGGGTGGTAGTAGAGCAAGCTGCAGGTGCTGGACATGCGAATTAACCAAGTGTCAGTTAAAGAAAGCTGTTATCGCACATGCTTTATATTCGGAAGGTTCCAGCACCAATTGCTGGTATCCCCAGTGAAGGACCTCAGGTCAGCGGTGCTGGGATAGAGGCTGGTTCTCCCCCCTCCCACAACCTTGGAAAGGCACTGTCAGTGAGCAGAGAATCCTGAGCTTAGATGAACAGGTGGCTCTGATTCTGTATGAGGCAGCTGAGTAGTCCATCACTGCTAGGACTCTGAAGTGAATTTTGCCCGACCCATCAATGTCTGAAGTGCCAAAACCTGAGTCCATGCATACCAAAGCCAAGGCAGGCAAAATGGCCAGGCTTACTTCTAATTTGGAAATTAATTTTGTTTTGGGAAAAAAAAACCTTCAGGAAGGGAGGGGGACAAAACACTAATAGATGCGAGGCAGAAAGTCATGAAGTTGCCCTCCGCGTGCCCACAGAACCGGTGTCTATTTGCTGCCACTGTGATTACTGCATCTCTTTAATGGCACAGGAGAGAACAAAGATAATTTCTTTGGAGGCCTTGAAAATCAACCTGCCGCCAAAGAGAAAGGAGATGGAGTGTTTTTAATATAACGGGAACAAGCCTTTTTCTGATGCACTTTTAATTGGATCAATTTTCTCTTATTGAGCAGCCTCCAAAAAAATAATCAAACGCGTGCACAAGTCATAATCAAACACATTCTTTCTGCAGGTGAGAAAAAACCACTACCAAACTGTTTAATCGTAGCTTGCTAATGACTCAGTTTTATCTTCTTTGGCGACTGCTTTCAAAAGTAATCACTACCCCTCTTCCAGAAAGGCCCTAGGTGGTGGGGGGGGGGGATGGGTTCCACTAAAAGACAGTAAGATGTAGGTAAAGAAGGAATCTTGCAGTGACCTTTGAATTGTCAGGAGAGGTGCCTGTTTCACCTGGGGTCACAGCTCTTTCCCCAACTGTGCCCGAAATAACCAGACTGATAGAACAGACAAATGTGCATGTGAGTGAAAATCCTCCACCTTACCCAACCCTCCCTCCTGGCAGAATTTTTTTTTTCAAGCCTGTATGAACCACAAGTGCATCACAAAAAAAAAAAATCACTCCCCCCATCTCTATTTGCAATCAGAGTGGGGAACAGATGGCGGAGACTTAGCTTAAACTGTGATGCGGCTGTTTGGCTGAAGCCAGGCAGTCAAGTGCTCTGTCAGCAGAACGGACCAGGCTTTAAGTCCACTTAAATGAATCTACGGCTTTCAAAAACGCTCTCCATAGTGGTACATTTACTACAAAAGAGACTCTCTGGAACGGCGTGTGAGGCAAGTGCTTATTTATAAGAACACAATATTGCTCTGGCTCGTCAGCCTGGTGGAAGCAGTGGGCAACAGCCAGCTCATAAAGGCAGGCATTTCAAAATGCAAAACTGATAGAAAGCACCATAAACGGGGTGTTTTATCAAAGGGCCAGGGTTGAAGACAGCCCAGCAATTAGACAAGAGTTCCCAGGCCAGGTAATTATCCTAATCTGAATTGCTGCTATGTACAGGAGGGAGGTGCCCTTTGCAACTGGAATGGGTGCAAACTCCCAGGGGGCATACCAGCTAAAGCTACCCATGATCAGCCAGGTCATGTAAACAACTTTATCAACTGCACATTTGAAACTGTGAGGTCTACCCAGATGTGATGCTGGAAGTTGCATAATCACAGATCCCAGTGTGTGTTTTGCTTTTAATGCAATAATTGTATTAAAAACAAGCATGAGGTTGTTTCACATCAAGGAAAGCAGCACGGGAGGGAAGGCTTAAGCTCCCCCCCCCCCCCCCCCCGGCTGTGATCACAACTGAGCCCCTACATGCTTGATCACTGCTTGTAGGAAGCACTGCTAGTTCCCATCACAGAACTCCCAGTATCTCATTTGCTTTAGCCTGTCTGTGTATCTGTGCAAATATCACAAATGCCAGCTATCCCTACTGGAAAGTAGTGTCTGGGTGGACATTTGAAAATGAGCAGGGCCCTGACTCTGCTGCAGGTGGTTTGCTTATCGCAAATGGAACCCAATAGGGAAGCTTTAGCTCACATTAAAGTCAAAGCAAGAATCTGGTTCCCACTGAGGGCAAAGAAAACAAACCCCTAGAAAAAATGGGCATCTTCAACTTAAGGACAGACAGAGGTCTAGGAGAGTTCCAAGGATGGAGGAGCAGGCATCTTCATTCAACAAAGCTGCTTCACTTGGGGTTTCCACATGGGGACAAGTTTATGCGGTTTCCCAGATGACGCTGCAGCTGCCGATACAGCAGCAACAGGGTTCCCACATGGTAGGTTTCCCTGACTCAGTTTCCCAGCAGTGGCGGCTACCCCCATTGGGGCTTTTTTGAGTTTTGTTATGATCTGATTGGATACCATTATAACTTCATAACAATCTGGGTATGGAGTTTTCTGAATTCTTAGCTTTCATTAAAACAAAAATTAAGTCTCTGGCCCTCTTTGTTGCAGAGATATATAAATGGAAAGGCATCTCTTTGCAACAAAAGGGGCTTAGAGACTCCCTTGTTCATTGTTTAATGGAAACGAGAAATTCAGAGAACCTGATACATAGGTTACAGCAATAGCAATTGCTGATATATATATATATTTTTAAGCCCCTTGATGGGGGTGGGCACAGCCACCATGGGAACAGGAGCAGAGAAAATGGTTGCTGTGTAGGCAGAACCAGGAAAATCTGAACTTTCCCACCCATGCAGCAGCCCTCCGGGCTTTACTGTAATCTTCCCCAAAACTTCACAGCGAAATGGGTTTGGGAGAAGTCTGAGAAAACTCAGATGGGTGAATACACGGTGACATGGGAACACTGGGGGTTGGGAGGGGAAGCTTCTCAACAGCTTCGAACCCAAGGCAAATTGTGTAGAAGAGGCCTCAGTTAAACAATGGCAATTTTTGTATGCATAATTTAATTGTAACTATGAAAATCAGAACTGTGCATTCATAAGAACCCCCCCACCACCACCAGTCTTTGCTGGTAGCAAGGCAAGTGGCACCCGGTTCTCAGGGACAAGGAAAGTCATGCTGTTTTCTTAGATTTGTTCCAATCTAAGTACTCCTTGCCATACTTGGAACCCTTGAGCAGAATAATGCTGATTAGCTTGGCATAGAAGAAGCACTTGAATCTGTGCAGCAGCTGGCCTTCAGCAGCCCGTGTCTGAAATACAGGGGCCAAGATGTTTCTGGTCCTGGGTGATTGTGGCTTCTGATAAGCCAGCTGAAATTTCACCCTCCAGCAAATACAACCAACGTATAGAACAGGGGATGGAGCAGCTACCACAGAACCCAGTTCTTTAATTATCCCTGCTACCCTCTGCATTTGCAAGGACCCCACTGGCAAGAACGCAGTTAAGTCTAACACGCTGACATCGGGGGCAACTTAAACATAACAAGCTGGTTTCCCTTTCTCTTAAGTTCTTTTGGCCATGCTGGTGGATGTGTTTTCTCATCCCATCTGGGCATGCCTTGGGTGTGCCAATTCACCCAGCTGCAGTTTCATGCTTCATCTGACCCAAGCCATATGCCTATCGGCTGATGAGCAAACTCTCTGTTGCCTTAAATAAGGCCTAGTGGCATCGCTAGCAATGTGGTGTTTTGCTGTGAAAGGAACTGAGATGTGAACCCCTCGGTAGAGAGACAGAGAGAGATTTCGCCTAATAAAATAAGCAGCCCCTTTCCCCATCTTACGGACAAGTACCTTTTGTGCAAGATGCAGACTAGTGGAAACCTATCAGGAAGTGCAATGGTGTGGAATGCAGGATATTGAAGGTGCACAGGTAGACATATAATTTGTCACATTTCATCTTGTTTACTTCAATTTCTCCCTCCCCTGGAGGCACGTCAGCTAGAAACATGACCTTCCAAGACATTTTCCAGACAAGATACAACACAGTTGCAAATAACAAACAAACCCTAATCAATCCCACCCTGTGCAGGCCTCCCCCCCTCCCAAGCAATCCCTTGATGTCTTTCCCAGGCTGTTTGCAATAAATGCCCAGGGTCATCAATGGGGGGAGAGTCTCTGCTGCTACCAGAAAAGCAGTTCTCTGCTTCAAGTCTGTTTTCCTCAACAGCAGCAGGCATACTTCACATCAGACAAAATGGACCAAGTTTGCATGGCAGGACTCGGTTGGCGACAGAAAGATAACTAGGTCGCTACAGGGGGGAAAGTGTTGTATATGCTTCTAAGCAGCAGCTCTACTGGTGCTCTTGTGACGGGATTGGCTACGACAATATAATTAGAAAATCCAGAGGGGTTGGACTGTGGGACAGTGCTGCCCGACCGCTGCGACAAGAAGGCCACGTAACGGAGCCTCGTGTGGAAGGAGAGAGTCCTCGAGAGTTTATTGCAGAATCAACATGCAGTGCTGGAAGGGGTAGGAAGGTCTGGTGGTCTGGGGGTGTCTGCGTGCGTAATGCTCACCCCCAACTCTGTTCATTTGGTGAGGAGTTGCACTTCTTTACATTTAGGAGGGTGGAAAACCCACACACAAACGTTCTACTTTTTCTTCTAAGCACACACAAAAGACGACAGCCACGGTGGCACAGTCTGTTTGGAAATATGGCACTGATGTCAGTCAGCCCGCTGAGGGATCCTGTAAGAAGAAGCCTGGCTTTCTGCTACGGAGTGGAATACCTCCTCAAGTGATAACTGTAAACCTTAATGCAGTGATCCCAACAGTCCAGGACCAACAGCTGCCCCTTGGGCGTGATGGCAATGCCAACAGGACACGTGAGTCCTTCTCGGATTAGGATGTTATAGCCGCCTCCTTTGGGGAAATGCAGGATTTCTTTACGGCTGCTGTCCGCCACAATCAGATCACCCCGCGCATCCACGCACATCCCGGCAATGCATCTGAAGTCCTCGTTCTCCGAGAAGAAATGGCTGATCTGCCGTCCCAGCTGCCCATCTGGGCCAACAGAACCAATGGAAAACCCTCCCTCCAAATGGTGCTCGTGCTGGCGATTTTCAAGGTTCAGGCCCAGTCCTTGAGTGAAGTAAATAGTCCCTTCCGTGTCACAAGTGACAAACTTTGGGCGGACCGCACTGCACAAGCAGCTGTACTTCACGATCCCGACACAACGGTCTACGGTAAAACACCAAAGCTTCCCCCCTTCCACATCTGTCACCACAAACTGTCCCGAAGGCAGAGCTGTGATGCCCCACGGCTTGCTAAGTTGACTCCTGTGGCATGCGATGCAGTGTCCGTCCATTGTGTACACCTTGACGGAATTATCATAACTGTCTGTCACACCGATCAACCCGTGGCAGTTCATAGTGACAGACAAAGGAGTCAGGTTGGGCAGGTCAGCCCCAAGGAAGCTAAGCACAAAGCTGTCGATGCCGCTGGGACTTCGCCGGATCTCCTTCAGGAAGCCCTTGCGGGTGAAGACTTGAATTCGGAAGTTGCCACGGTCAGCAACAAGCACCTCTCCTTGTGGGGTAACATGCAGGCTGACAGGGAGATTAAACATCCCTGGTGTACTCCCTTTGGAGCCCATCTTTTTGAGGAAATGACACTGCTGTATACTGGCAGCTGCTTCTGTCATCCTTGGCTTGACTGGGGAAGAACAATTTGGCAGTGAGCTGGCTTCTTCCTGAACCACGTCCGGCTCCCTAAAGGACACGGAGGCTGACACAACTGTCTCCATCAGCGATTCCTCCACATTGATGCTCCGAGGCTTTTTCACCACTTGCCCAATTTGCAGCGGCCCAACGTGGCCCACCTTAAGGAGCTCCACCTCTTGCAGAGTCAGTTCTTTTGGAAGGCTGTTCATCAGTTCGGGCTCCTCATCATCACCCTCTTCCTCTAAGAGGGCTATGTCCCCTTGTTTAATTTTAGCAAGGAAGTAGTCACACCGGGACACTA